GCCATTCCCATTGGTCATCTCCGGGTCAGATCCATATTCCAGGCTGTTGATTGGAGGAAGGAGGAAGGTGTGCCCCTGTCACATCCAGAGCTTCTTCCACCACCAGACCTGCCAGAAAAACCGCCTCCACCGGCGGTCCGCCGCTCCGGCCCTACGCCGCCCGCGCCGCTCCTTGCGCCGAGGCACGGCTGCTCGGTGGCCTTGGTGAGCCAGGCGGTGGAGCCCAACTTTCAGTACCGGCCCTACATGGAGGAGCCTTGCGGACCCGGGGGACCGGGGCCAGACCAGACCGGGTCGACTTAGTTCGGTGAGGTCTCTGGATCGGGGCGGGTGGGGAGTCCTTGTCCTGTACTACATACATGTGAGGTTTGTTATAGTATGGGCCGGTGGAGGAAAAACACATGTCGGCATATAGATATGGCCTAAAGATCAGAAAATACCCCAATTCAGTCGCCGGGAGCCCTCGATCGAGTCGATCGAGTCGTGAACCGCGTGGATGAAAAAAACCAAGAGATGCAGCGGATGTTCGAAGAGGAGATAGAGATAGACACAGATGAAGGATGGGAGGATTTTTCTAGTGGATTTTTCTAGGAGCAACTGAGTCTTCTTGAGACCATGATCTCTCAGAGTATTGGAGTTAATTTGAGGAACTCGAGGGGTGAGGATTCAGGTTGAGCGCAATCAGTGGCGAGGATGGTTGCAATCAGTCCCTTCCCTTTTCTTTTTTTTTTTTGTGTGTGTGGGACGGGCAGAGTGAAGTGTTAATTGAGTTTGCTTACACGTACCTTTGTCTTGCATGCAAACATATTTTTTAAAGGTAAGCAGGCACGTTGAGACATATTGTTTGCTGAATCTAGGAGACAAGATGATGGTTTCCATCGTATATATCCTGGTGGTTTGGACCTTTGGTGCTTTACAACGTGCGCACACATGGCTGAGCTTTGCGCGACTGGGGGAGCTTGCTTCAAGTGGCTGAAGGTGCCTGTCTCGGGTCACAGAGACCTCCATCCGCATGTAAAAGAGCAGGTGGCCTCGAAATCTTGTGGCGGATGTCTATAATGGGCTGGTCCCACGTTGAGGTCCATATTGCTTGGAGCAGCCTGTCCATTTCTTTCAGCGTCCAACAGGTGGCCCCCCCCCTACCTGGCGCTCCAGCGCCTCCGATCCCCGTGAGGACAAGTACTCCATCATCGATCCCTTCATGGAGGGAGAGCTGCCCAACGAAACGTGCCTCGTTTGCCTCCCAAAAAAGGACGTGAACAGTGTTCAAAGACCATTTTGTAGAGGGTTTTTCACCAAGTGTAAAATCACGAGCAGCTAGCATTCTGGTGTTGAATGGATACTGAATCAATCGGTGGTTATTGGACGTCCAGGGAGAGACTATGGCGACTCGTGGTTTCATCACCAGGGTCCCTTTCTTTTGCACCAGTGCACCGGTTGCGGCACCATGCACCTCCTTCACGGACGCAAAGAGTCGCTCAGATCAGACGATGAGTTCACTCGGAAACCTTCGCTGACCCAAAGCGGTTTTGACTTAAGTTATCTCACGTCCTTCTGGCCGCCCCAACGAAACGCAACCACCACGTCCGACCTCGACTCCCCAAATGACCTCTCTCCGCTCTCTTTCGCTCCTTCCTCTCCTCGTTGACCAAACCTGAGACGCGACGCAGGTGGGGCTTCTTCGCAGTCTACGACGGCCACGGCGGCGCGGCGGCCGCAGAGTTCTGCGAGGCGGAGCTGCACAAGGCGGAGCGAGCTCCACGCGGTGGAACGGAGCGATGTGGGATCCATGGGAGGCGATGTGGTTTGGCCCAAAGGCTCCAAGTAAGTACATCAGAAGGTGGGACTGGGGTGGGACTGGACTGAGGGTCCAGTCAAACCGAACCTGAGGAGGTATGACTGGAGCTCGTTTGAGGCGCAAGATGTGTTTGCTGGGAGCATGAAGTTCATCCCCCTGCCCCAGTGAATGTTACACAAACCTTGCACTTCATGAGAGACTGAATTCGGACCACTAACATCCAAAAACTAAGCATTTGACTGCATGGTGAAATCACCGCGTGAGAAGCACCATATATAAACAATGGACACATGATCAACAACCAGCATCAGCATCATACAACAGGCCCAAGAACATGGAACATGACTATATCATCAACAGCTGACTTGTACCCTTTTTCCACTTTGAGACTGGTCTATGCCGAGTGTTTGGGACATGAACTCACCATCTACACCATGGAAATCCCCTGATCCGCTGCGGAAGCTACGCAGGTCTTGGCGTCGGAGCTGCGGACGGCCCTGCGCGCTGAAAAGCCGCGGAGACCATCCTCGCCTGTGCGGGATGAGGCACCGGCTTCGAAGCCGCGATGGGGTGGAGAACAAGACGGAGGAACTTGCATCCGATCCCCGATCCCGATGGTAGCAGCCCTTCGGGTCTGAGACCCGGTACTGGAGGTATGGAGAAAAAGACGTTGAACCTAATAGCCATGGCCTCCAGCCTCCAACCTACTCGTACTGGCGATGGCCTCCAACCGGAGACCGGCGGGGGAAGGACTGGGTCGACCATCCGAAGCGCTCGGATGTCCGTCCTCCCCAGGCAACGACCAGTCTGAAGTACGACGTACGTGGCTCACCTCCGTTCTTTTCATCCGAAAACGAGGAGATGAGAATGATGGATGTGGCAACCGATGGCTTTGGACGTAAAAGAGAGGAAGTTAGCCGGTACCTGGCATCGACCATGGCATCTTCTTGCCACATCAGATGTGGAGGATTGGATGTCATGTGTGGCGCAAGCAACTTCCAATGTGGAATAGAATGGCCTGCTGCGGATCTTGTAATGGGTAAATGCTGAGGGTATATGAATGTCAGATGATGATGTGTTTGGAGGGCGTCCTAGCATTCTGAACTCCCACGCTCTAGAATGCTCTAGACTCATCATCTCCGACTGGATCGTCGCACGTCGACCACGCCTTTTCCAGGTGGTGGCCGAGGCCCTGACGCGGACCTTTCAGAAGGCGAACCGCCGGCGCGAGTACGACTTCTGGGGTTTGGGTGGCGAAAGTGGGGTCAACAAGCGGAGTGAAACGAAGGTCCTTTTGGCAGATGTGGGACGATCTCACGACCCTTTTTTCATCTTTTTTCCTTTCCCAAAGGCCCAGAAGGGTGGGTCCTTCGGTGTGCTCTAGGTGTTGACCCTCAACTGGGCTTTTGGACTTAAGCATATTTAGCAGTTGGTTTGGGAGCAGCGTGTCCACGAGCCCAGAGACTCCACAATGCGGACTCACCGGCGTCCGAGCACCTGGGGGCGGGAGGTGTGGTGAATCGCGCCACATTCCATGCGGGCGGGCAAGGAACCCCGATTCGGGCAGCTCTCCACACCCTTCGTCACACCGACACCCTTCGTTGGACTGGTCCGTGTGACTCTGAAAAAAGGAAGGTCTTCAAGATAGATGGTGACGGATGCAGATCCATTCAGACGTCTCTACTTTGGGCAACACGGCGACTACCTCAGCTTGCCGAAGACCTTCCAGGACCTTCCGGAGTTTGTACCGAACTTGACTCCCTGGTTGCTTTGGTCACCGAAAAAGAAGATAACACCAACACGAAGGCGGCGCTCATGGACTCTAGCTGGTTGATATGCTTCGAGGGACCGACATCGGGCTGGCTGTTTGTTTGGCCTCCATGTTCGGTCACACACATGACCAAAACACACACATGACTCACATGACCAAAACTCTCTCCCATCTCTTCCCATCTCACTCCCATCTCTCCCATCTCCCATCTCTCCCAAAACACATGACCAAAAACTCCCATCCCTCCCCATCTCTCCGGACCCTTCGTTCATCCCCTCAGGCGGATGAGCAGCTGCGCTCCGTGGGCGCGTGGCGCTTCGGGTGCACGGCCACGGTCTGCCTGGTGCGGCGCCTGCCGCAGTCGCTGCGCATCCACGTCGGGGCAGCTGAGAGGAGGGCGAGCGCGGCGGGTGGAGGGGGAGCGGTGGGCTGGAGTGGTGAGGACGAGCCGGATGAGAGGTGGTTTGAAGGTGTGGAAGATCGAAACAAGCTATCAGGAGAGGTGGAGTCCAGGAAGATGAGAGGAGAGGTGGTTTGAAGAAATCATGAGATTGGTGATTGAAGAAGTTGATGGAGTATGTATGTGAGGTTGCAACCACAATTCAAAGGCAGTGAATACTCAGCTATTTGAACATTACTGTATATATTATATATGTTGCCACTGACTTTGGTGCAATGCTCCAATGGCCAATTTTGTTCCAGTGATGCACATGCTTTGTCGGGGCTCACCTTGGCCGACGCGATTGAAACGGATGGTGCGTCCGTGGCATTTGGCCCGAGCTTTTGCTCAATGAAAAGAAGAAATGTGTATGTCACCCCAAGTTAGTAATACTTCGAAGAGAGCGGCAGCCAGGATGGCGAAGAGTCACAGATCGATCATAGTCGATCGGATCGATGTTCTTCTGAACCTCTCGTGTTTGAGTGCTATGGCGCCAAATCTAAAATTGATATCAATATTGTGGGCGAACACTGAAAGGCCCTGGGGCTTTGGGTGACGTAAAGTCTCATAAAGTTGCGCAATTTAACGAACAGATGCAGAAGGACCTCCTTCAAGGCCTTTCCATCCAAACGTGGAAGTGATTATATATGGACATTCTTCGATCGGTTGAGAGACCCAAGGACCCAAAGATGAAGTGTTTCAGGCCCCCCATGCTCAGCATCACAGCATCACAGCACCACTCCCATCCGCTTCGTCCAACAATCGAATTCCCAGAAGTCTTAGCCCAATAAACCAACCACTCCATGTATGACTCTATGACATATATATATATATATGCATTGGGGTGGTTGACCTGGGGTCCATGTCGGCATATATTCCATACATGGAGTGTCTGGGTCCACGCGTGGAGGGTCAAGAACACTTAGGAACCACAGAAAGCCGGGACCTCGCATCGTGAACGACGCGTTGATGTTCCAAACGTTCGACCTCCGATGTTCCACCATGGCGAGCGGAAGGGCTTGGCTTCTGGGATGAAACATCGTCCGGACGCTATGCTCGGGGGGGCTTCCATCACAAGTACCTAGCTTGGCGGCCAAGAAGCTACGTCGACGGTAACAAGAAGCGATGGACGGAACAGCGGACCCGATGGTGGCATGATTGCTACGGACGGCTTTCTTTAGGTCGTTCCCTCCAGTCAAACGGGGCACCACATGGGTATTGTTATAACTTTGGCCTCTCTGGTGTTCTGATTTCGCTTGGGAGCTGGACTGGCAGGACTGCGATTCTTCACTTGTTCCTACCTGTTTTGGCCCACTGAATTGCGTGAATTGGCCCACTGAATCGGCGATGTTCCTTCTGGTTGGCCCGCGTCCGGTAAATGGGACCCCTGGGGATCGCCTTGGTCAATGAGGCGGTTTTGGTGACTGTTTTATGGATTGTTTTGTGTTCATTCAATGGATACCTCGAGGGGCCCATCCTCGCTCGTGGTATGTCACTCTTCCACTCATGTGGATGGCGGCATCAAAGTCTCGGTCTCGCCCGAGCCTCCTGGGGGTGCGTTGACAGATCCATCGATGGGACGAGCTGAGAGCTACAGCAGGGGAGATATGACCATAGACAGACAGACCAGGAGTCACATGGATGGCCTGGGTGGTCTGGCTCGTCCCATCGTCCCATCGAGTGAGTAGACGGAGTAGATGGGGGTTTTCAAGAAGTGTTAGGCTACACCAGGAGTCGCTGGAGCAGGACGCCAGTTTGAAGAAGAAGTTTGGAACCTCGAAACTCATCAAGCCACCTGCTAAGTCGACCGAGAACCTCGATGACCTGGATTGTTTTTCCCCACCAGACCAATCAAATTGACATCAACCAGCTTCTTCAAAGTGACCCTTTACAGGCCTGTTGGTGACCTCAAGCCGGATGAAAAAAGGTCAGTTTGAAGAACCAGGAATGTTTGGGTTCTAGGCATACCGACGGCCCCGGCGTCACCGGTGACGTTCCCGGCACCGGTGACTTAGGAGAATCAGCTTGGTTCCAACCACTGTGGCCTGGTTGGCACCGGCCGCGGAAGATGGAGTTGAAGAGGGTCCCGGGCGCCATGAGCCATGGATCACCCTAGAGGGCTGAAGTGGCTGGGGGGATTGGGAGTGTCCTCACTCAAAACAAGGTGGAAACAGTCTCCTTGAGTTCCAAGAAAACTGAGCAAGGAAATGAGGGAGTCCGACTACACCATGAAAAGAAGCGAACACAAGCATCTTGGGTTCTTAAATCTCTCCCCCAGAGCTAAATGGGCTCAAATGTACTAAGCTCGTGTATGCCATCAAGCCAAGCTTGTGAACCTGAGCACTCTTGTGGCGGCTGGGGTGGGTTCCAACGGTACTTCTATATACATTAATATTGTTACATAGACCTATACTAGCACCCTCACTGCCAGGTCACCAATTGAGACCTGAGCATGGGCCCTTCCCAACCCTCGAAACCCGGAGACTTACTCTTTGTGCTGGTAGTCTATAGTAGTCCTCTTTCGGAGGGGTTCCAGAACTGAAAGATGTCCACTTTTCAAGGGTGGAAGACCGTGTTTGTTGGCTCGCTTCGAAGCTCGCTTGGATAGCCTCAGCGACCTCAGCCGCAGCAGATCCAGAAGATGTCACGGGTCGTCGCGTTTGGTGTTGGAGGTGTTGGAGGTGCGAAGGCTTGCGCCCTTCTGGACGTGATGTGACTTAAACCACCCGGATGTGACTTATGAAACACGTTTGCACATTTGCACGGCAGATGTGACTTAAACCGTCAAGATGTGAAGTGAGACTCCTCTACTTGTACTGGAATGTGTCCACAGATTGAAATTATCTTCATCGCTTGCAGACGATGTTGACATATTATGTTGACTGTCGTTCTTTAACTGCATGTTTGTGTCTTCCGGAAGACACTGAAAAGCCGTGTTGCGCAACATTCCTTTGCTGCACGCTCACGGAAGTGATGGCATTACGGCACTGCGAAGCCTGATTCGATCAGGCCCCGCAGATGAACGGATTCTGATTGTTATAGAATGACTTCCAGGGATTTTGCGGGATATGGGATGACATGGGGATCTACATGGATCTCCAGAAGATGCAGAAGATAAAAAGAGAATCTTCCGATCTTCCGATGAGTCTGTTTCATGCGGGAGTTTCTTTCTTTCCAACAAGTGACCTCTTGCAATCGGATGCAATCGCAAGAGCCGAGTACCGTACTAGGTTCTTTCATTCCGATGCTGAGGCTTTCTGAATGTCGTCATCCAAGCTCTTTGGAGTCTTGGAAGGATCATGAAGGATCATGGTTTGGAGTGGACCAACCCTGCCGAAAACCGAGAAACATCTCGAGATGATCATTGATTCTTGATAATTCTTGCCCTGCCAAATTGAGGGCCATGCAGAGCGATTCCCTCTGGAACATGAGTCTTCGTTACATGCAGTCATCGTATGTCATCGTGGCGGCAAACGACCGTCGTGTCAGTCGAAGGACCTCTTTGTTGAAGAGACTGCCATGGTCAGTCGGTTGAAGGATAGTACATTGAGATTGTTGGCCGTTTGCATGTTCTAAGACGTTTCATTCAAGACGCCTACCGATCTGGTTCAGGGCTTTACCGACTGTCTGTGCAGAGCCCCGCGCTGTGGTCCGACCGAGGAATTTACAGGCGTTTCGGCAGCGCTTACTGTCCGAACCACATTGGCACAGCACTCCGCAGAGCTGCTGCTATTGCGAACTGAAGTCGCTCTTTCAGGCAACCAGTCAAACACGTTGGGGGGGGCTTAAGGAAGACATACCAGGACCCTCCGTTCGGCTGTTTGGAGACCCTGGGCACCCTAGGTGAACCTGGGCACCGAGTTCGTTCGGAAACACCGGAAACACCCGAACGACCCATGTGGACGGTCCAGGGATGAAGAGCGACGTTGCATGTGGTATACACGTGGTATACACGCTGCATCGCGGTTGCATGTGGTGCAGGATTCTATCAAATAACAGATGAATAGTAATTAATTATGTGTTGACTAACGATTTGGAAAAGGATCAGAACTTTGATGACGCATCAGATGCATGCAATATTCAGCATTCTTCAGCGCACAAAAAAGGATGGCCGCATCCTGCGTCGGCAGTTTGCTATTCGATTGGTGTGGATTTGTTCGTCCTTCTGTTGTTAACTCTCTGGCCAACACGCCATCGAGATGAGCCCAGTTTCCTCTACCCAGCACACCAAAGGCCACCTGGCTGCCTTTTGCATGTTTGCTTTGCCTTCGCTTCTACTCGCCCCGCGAGTCGTGCGAGGACTACGCCCAGTCGCCCTCACAGTCCTTGCCGCCGGACGGCGTGCGACGCGCGCTGAGCAGTGTCTATGCAGAGGCAGCCGCCGGCGGACGTTTTAAGATTGGACGAATGGAGGATGCCAGCGAAACACTGGTGACCTGGAAGAAGGGTGAATGAGATTTTTTGTCCAGGTGACGGCGACGATCCTTTTTCTTGTGAGATGTGGAGCTTCCTGTTTGAAGAAAGCCCAGACCTGTAGATACCTGTATAGTGTCTTTCAGGAAAGTTACCCTTAGGCCTTTGGATTATGAAGGAAGTTTTCTCCAAACACGGGCTGTATCGCTGAGGAAGCGATCCTGGGCATCTTACACGCCTCCCACATGACGGTGCTCTGGATGACGTGGGCGGGTCGGGAAAGGGGGGCTAGGTTGGAGGAATGACGAGTACGCAAGTGGCTGAGGTGAGGATGCAAAGGGCACAGCCACATGTTTGTCAAGTATATTTACACAAGTTTTACATTTCAAGATTTTCAAGCAAAGACGCTACTAGGGGCTCCTGGCATCGCTACGAACGGAGCAAAGACGCTACTAGTAACAAAGGGCATCGCTACGAACGGAGCAATCGGACGCTACTACAGCACACACACATCGTGTCTTTACATAGGTCGGTTACGCCCTTTTAAGTTGAGTATTCTTGCGAGACGAAGGTGGGCACAGGTTACGACGTTACGATCTGCTTTTGGAATTGATCCGGGAAGAGACCCACATGGACCGAAGACGATGTTCCTCTACAACTCGACGTGGTTTTCAGGTGGAATCGTGGAATCATTTAATCCTCGTTCGTGGGCGTGCTTTCATTAGGCTCTTTGGATGAAACATTAGGCTCTCATCGCAGTGCAACCACCAGAGCTTGACAGAGAAAGCTTCCTCGTGACCGCCGCTTCCCTCCGTCCGTGCGGACACGACGTTGATGGATGCATTACGACGTTACCACCCTACATGTATATACCACACTCCATATATGGTAATATACTTGATATATATTATATATATATATATATCACACACACATGTATTACGGCATATCACCCATATACCACTGGTCCGTCTTTTCGTGTATAGGTCGAGTCGGTCCAAACTCCATGCTTCGCCGGCACTGAGGAGAGTTTCGCAGCTCCTGCCATACCTTTGAGCCTGGTCCATGTCCACTGTCCGGTTTTATTCCGTGCGGTGTCGTTTTATGCGTGGTTTGTTTTGTGTGTTTCGACCGTTTGAGACAGTGTGGGCCTGGAAGAGTATAGTATTTCATCAAGTATATTTGATATTTGATGAATATTGATGACATATTCTTATGGTTTACACTTACTTGGACCTAGCGTGAACATACCCACAGAATTGGGCGTGTTACCGTAAGGTCTTAAGGTACGATTTACTCACTGAGAGACAGTAGCTAGTTGAATAACACATCTGACCTTGTAGTATGCTTGAAACTTGTACTCGTAACTACTGGACCCTAGGCACCAATATTAGCCAATTCAATTTGATTCCACCTGGACATAGACGCCGGGTTGCTTGTAGACACTCCCTTCTTTGTGGGTAGTTGATATGTTGAACCCCTCTATTGGACGCTGGAACATCTTGGCAAAAGCGTGTTTGGGATGGAGATCCTGGTCTTCAGTCAAACACTAGTACTCATGCTGTCAAACACTCCCTGTGTTTGGCAGAGTGTTGCCCAGATTCAACAACGATTCAATCGATATGGAGATAAATTGTCTTGAAGATGGACTCTGATGTATGCATGGAAAGTTCCGAAATCATTCAATTTCTGAATACCCATCAATCAAGTTTACCAACCTGAACTGAGAGCTGATGTTTTTGGCTCAAAAATCACACGGAGACACCTATAGAAGTTTTTGTCTATGATTGACCAGCGTTTCGATCGCTTGACTGGATTGCCCACAAAATTCTGGAGTCGGGCCATCACCATCTCTGAAACTTCTCCCCCAAAAGGTGGAGCATGCCAGCGCCTTCGGTTGCCATCCGCTCTGCTTTGCCCATGATGTCTTCGGCATCGAATATGTGACCTGGTGAGATCAAGTTGTTGTGAGATCAAGTGAGGTGTTTTCAGTCGTGAGATCAAGTTGTTGTGACCAGAACATGAATCGGTCGTTTCATCGATAGAATTGATGGACACTACCACGCTAGAATGCATTGAATGTGCTGGGAGATTCAACATGGATTCACTTAGACAGGGTATCTCTTGGGAGACACTATATGAGATGGCCCTTGCTCTAGAAGCCAGTCGTCCGCACAATGCGGGAGCATCGGGTCTGGATGAAGAAGGCTTCTTCTGTATATAGGATGATTGAATTGAGCACTGTCAATTCAACAAGGGATGCTCTACCGAAGTTGGTAATCTGAACCATGTGAAATACCAGCCGGAGATTTCCCTGGGGCACCAAAGGCACCAAAGGAAGACTACAAACACCCCGCGAAGTGCCCAGCCCAGCCAGCCCAGGACCCCAAGACCTCAATACCTCTCAACAGTACTTGTGAAGACATCAGACAGGCGGCAAAGACATGCCAAGACCATCCTTATTTGAATCGATAGTTCTTTGCTTTGGGGTGGAAGTTCGTGACTTGCTCGAGAGCAGCTAATTATTTCCTGGGTTGGTGTCATCCAAGCAACTGTGGCAAGGTGGCCACACTATGTAACAAAGGCCAGTCCAGCGACGGTATCCGGACCGCATTGGTTTGGACAGGTTGACGTCGCGCAGTGCAGCTTTTGCGGCTTGATTTGGAAGACGAGGTGTGAGCTGGTGATGCACAGAGACAAAAGTTGCTCTGGTACTGGAATCCATTTTCATACCTCTTCATGTGACATCTTGATGAATCATGTTTTGTAGAGACATGGGAAGATCCAGAATCTGAAATTTCATTCATGCATGGAATGATTCTGTGGAAGTCAGACAGAGTCAAATCCGGAGTCCGGAATCTTTTGCGGATCGGCTGCTTGTTCTTTCACTCAAAGTTCATGTGGCCCCTGGCATGTCGTATTTCTGTTTGTTTTTTCCTGGGCTTCCTGGACAGTCCATCCAATCGGTCGTCAGGTATCCACCAACGACGCTCGCCATCCATCCGAATCCGGTCGACGCCGAATCCGACTTGGAAACCGGCGATGGCGATGGTCCGCATGGGAGGAAGCTGATTGCCAGCCCATTCTTCCCCAAAATGCCAAGCATCGAAAGGATGTTACAAGTCACTCACCACCCATGCAAGATGGCCGGGGTCTGGTGTTTTGTGATGTTTCTTGTTTCATCTTTGCCGCCAAGATGGTTCCTGTTAGCTTGACACGTCTGCCTGAAAATGACATAAAATGACCCCATGCTGAGGGAAAGTACCCACATGTGTTGGAGGAAAGCATCCTGCACCGCCCAAACGACTGCATTAAAAAGGGACTGCATTATCGATGTAAAGACCGTTCCCAGCTGGCTCCTCTTTGACCCCCGCAGTTGGTGGCTCGCAAATCATGTCATTCTTTTGCTTCTGGATGGCACCCGACCTGCAATGATGCTCCGACGCTTCGAGGGTTTCGACCTCCGGACGAGGGCCCACCCGCCCCGTACCTGCGCGTTAGCGCGCGTGATCGCGCGTATCGCGCCCCGTACCCGCGATGGGAGTGCGCCCGAGGTGGTGCGACGGGAGAGCCTTCGGTGGAAAGCTCCTTTCTGTACCGCGTCTATGCCTCGGAGCTCCTGTCGCGGGCGCGGAGAGGATCCGGTTTCAGCTGGACGGTTTCAGCTGGCGAGACGGATCCCTTGGGTGGCTTTGAAGGATGTGGACGTGGTGCTGGGAGTGGAAGTTGGGAAGGAAGTGCATGAAGGGAACCTATTTACATCATATCTTACGAACCACATCGATCTTTATATTTTATATCTTGCAATATACAATTATAATCAATTTGTAAATATTCCCCTGCCTTCCAAGGCTATTAAGAATGGTTGAGCTGGTTTAGTCAAGGGTGGTTGGAATCCTAGGTTTTGTTTTGTGATGTGGGTGGATGATGCACAAAATGCCAGGCAGGCCAGGTGGGGGTGTAGGTTTGGGAGGAAGGTTGAACTTCAGGTCGTGAGGGGCTTCTTCATGGTACTTACCATTGTTTGATTTTTGTAGACGAGAAACCTGTTCCTGTATGGACATTGAGGGATTTCGATGTGGTGTTGATGCAGTTTGAGGACATTTGTTGAATAGGTGTTCTCACCGTTTTCAGTCCCACCAAAAGCTGAAGAGAGATACCCTTGTTACTATAGTAGCTTCTTGCTCCTAGTAGTGATGCCCTTTGTTCCTAGTAGCGATGCCTAAGGTGTAGCCCATTACCAGTAACAGTCGGTAACAAAGTATCACTATTTTTGAGAAAGGCCTTTGCTAACCATCATAATAATAATAATCATCATCATCATCATCATCCACTGTTACTGGTAATGGGATATACCCAAGCGATGCCCTTGTTACTTGTAGTTGTTTTCTTGCAGCAAGTGAGTTTGGCCAGGGCCTTCCTGAGGCCACCGTCCTGGCCTTCATTGAGCATCCCTTGGATGCTTCAGTTCAGGTATGTGTTCTTCTTTGGTCACTATACACATTAGAATCAGAACAGTCATGACCAAAGAAGAGACCAAAAACCCAGCTAGCAGATCTGAAGTCACGCGCCTCTCCAGATCTGGGCTGCCCGAAGCAACGAGTGAGTCGCTTCTCGCCGGCGACGAATTCCAGGTGCCCTTCACGAGATCGTGGGCCGTGTGACCAGCACCTGGACGAGCTGGCGCGGTCCGCCTGTGGCTCGTCCGGCTCTCCGTTTGGGGAAGGAACCAGTGGTCACCAATCCAAGTTGACCCAAACCAAGCCTGTTTTTGGTTTCTTTCGTTCCGTTCTTTCCAGCGGGCGGACTCAAAGAAAACGCACCTTGCACTCAATTCCCTCAACCAATCGCATCACCTTGCCCCCTCCACCGAGCATTAGGCCACCTTGCCGGAACTCCTGCATGAGCTTAACGAGGAGCCCACGCACCGTGGGCAGTGCCATGGCTGGCGGACTGAGCCGCAGTGGGGACTGGGCATCGCATGGCCCCAGACGCTCCATCACAGACAGGTCATGGGGATCCTTCTCCTCGCTACGACTGGACCTGGACCTGTCAGCGCAGCGGCAAATAACGGAGACAACACATCACCGGCAATAAGGTGGATCCCTGGAAAAAGTGTGGAAGATATTGCAATCAGTTGGGGTTTGCTTATTTCAAGGGTCAATGTAGGCACATATACATACCCATGCCATACCTGGAGTGTTTCCAGGCATGGGACTGGAAGTCTTTGCTCTTCTCAGACCCCGTTTCCCACTCCAGTCCTGATCGGGACTCAGGACTACCAGTCCGATGGAGAATTTTGGGTACATAGGTTGCAGAAGCAGTGGTTTCTACACTAGAACGCCACGGCCTAGTTTCTCTCTGAGCAAAGGGTGAGGCTTTAAGATCCAGCGTGAAAGATGTTGAACTCCTAGAAACAATACACCCACTATGAGTTCACCGTGCCAGCACCACCCAAAGGGTGGTTATTAGAGTTGTTTGCTTCATGTTTCGGGTCTCAATTATACCTATATAAAGACTCGCACAACTCAAATTGAAACTGTCACAAAACAGCCACCGGGAACACATGGTTGTGTCATGTTGTGTCTTGGCTTGCGGTGGGTGTTAGGTTTGAGCCTGACTGATCACTTGATCAGTTGATGGACTGCAGTAGCCATTAAATACAGTAAGTTTTATACAGTATTATATATATTGGCTTAGTTTGTGCAACATGACAGTAAGGTGCCAAGCGTAGCATTGGTTTTGGAATGTTTTGGACATGAAAGGCCACGTGCATTCCATCTAGCCAGCAAGGCGCCAAGAAGTCCTACAAAACATCCCAAACATACATCCAAGAAGTTTAGGCTTTCAATGCTAGATGGCCATTGCTCCCAAGCAGTCCTTTGCTTTGCCCATTCATTCTCAAGAGTGTGAAGTCCAGAAGTTATAACTTCTCTACTTCAACCAGAAATTCCAAAAGTCCTTAACTCCGTCAGAAACACCAGAGCTGTTTCAGAAGACAGCTCTTTCGGAGACCGTTTCGGAACCAAGGCAGGCGACCTGGAACCCCTCTCCCGGGTCACCCCCCCCTGGCCTTCTAGGTCAGGACGGACCGACTTGACAGGTCATCAGGGTCGACCGGGATCGCCATACCGAGGTTGAGTGACCTGAACTAGGACCCGGAAAACCAGGGGTAGGTCCGGGTAGGTACCTATAGGATAGTCTATAGGCTTCTATAGGGTTCTTCAACCTCTGCTGGTACATCGCAGTCGTCCGACGATTCACAGACTCGAGGTGTACAGATTGCCAGAACTCTGTGACCAGCTCTGTGCGTTGGCTGACGAGGAGGAGTCCTGAGCGCTGCGCGAGAGGTTTCCGGAGCAGCCAAGCGAGTTGCGTAACTCACTTCGTGGAATCCATGTTGAGCTTGAGAACCGAGAAGATTGAAGGCTTTTTCAGAGGGTTATAGACTCTTTTTTACCCATTGACTCCCAAATAGTCAAATGCTCATAATATATTCATCGACGACATTTGTTTCCTTATTACACCTTCCGCTGCTTCAAAAAGAAGCTTCGAAGCTTCACCGAACCAACGGCCCTCACCGGCAGCGGCCGCGGCTGCAGCGCCGCTTTCGGAGGCCTCGGATCTTTACGGTGTCGCTGGTGTGGCCCAGCGTGGCGCCCGCGGGCGAGGACATTTGGGCGATCCTCGCGATGTGTCTCGGCGCACGCATCCTCGGGTTCTTTGGAGGGCGGGCGGGCGGTTTTGTGGCGCGCGCAGGAGGTTTTGCGGGCTTCCTCCATCTCGGCCAGGGGGGATGGGACATGATGGGACTGTTTTGGGATGAATTTGGGAGGTTTGTTCGAAAGTGCAAGAGAATTAGACTATTGATTAATAGCCCCCCATATGAACCTGTTGTTCAATCCAAATGGGAGGTTTTTTCATCCTAGGTCCTATAGAGTCTACATTTAGTGATTCAGCATGATTCGGTGACCCACCCTTGATCCAAGGATGGGGTTCAACTGTGGTCGAGGAGGGAGGAGGTTGGTCGTACGTATGATGTCGTATGCCTTGAGTTTTCACCTGTTGAGAATTCCAGACACGACCTGTTTGGGACTGGCAGTTCTCACTCTCGATCAGGCCAGGGGTGGTTGACCCGGGGTCAATGGGACGGCATCATGTACTGTATATACTCTGTACCAGCACCTTCTAACAGGTCTCCTCTAGAGGGTTGGACCCTAACAGGTCTCAAGTGGTGACCTGTAGAGTCGGGTGCTGGTATAGATGGAGTGTTTGGAAACGGTTGAGATTCCAAACGTTGAGATTTCAGGACTTTCCTAAATCACCGGCCTATCATGGCCTATCTATGTCCTGTGAATCAACCAAAGCTTGTGCTCCCATGCGCTCACCGAAACTGATCAATGGAAATTGCGAGCCCCTGCGAGCTCCTTTCTACAAACTGATGATTGGACAGTATATACGGCTGTTATTCCACGAAGCCGACCAGTGAAAAATGACTGGTCCAATGATAATCCAATCAACTTCTCGAAGTCCACAGAAACACTGACCCTTCGTGGCCGAGGCTCAGACCACATTTGAAGATGGAAGACTCTGAGCTGCCGATGTTTCGATAGATCTGGCGACGGCATGGATCCCAAAGGCTAAATTTGGCACCACTACCTAGGACCTAGCACTTCCGACGGGTGTCTGAAGACCTGCTTGCGCAGGGTAGGGCAGTCTATTGTACACGTGGATGATCCTGGTATATGTTTTCAGGAAATTCCTGAAGCCGGGTCCAGAGGGACCACATGTTGTATGGTTCTTACAATGACCCCTCGTCTCCACCCCAATGGTTGTCATGGTGATCAATAGGCCAGTCCCATGCTCTTTGTGTTTGGGTATGGAGTACAGTCGACCATTGAACTAGAGTGAGATTTGGTGAGATACAGTGAGGGGTATCCCGGTCTCCCTGAAAGTGCACCTTCCAAATCCCCTAGAAAGAAAAGCTTACGTGGTGTTCTGGACGTGTGGGATTCCGATCAACAACCCGGCTGCGGCTCCGAAGTCTTCATGTTGGTCATTGTGTGTGTTTTTTACCACGTGTCTCTCGTCTAGGGTGCCCACTCAAGCGTCCTGAACGGTCAATAAGAATCTGAGTAGCAAAACAACAAGCCTCTTCAATGCTTGTTGCAGGTTTTTGTTCTTTTTCGGACACACCGAGAACCTGGGATCGATCCACACAAAATTCCGGGGACCCCATTCCGGACCACCGGCTTAAGACTCTTAAGGCAGCTCCCGGTCGGTGGGATGGACCGTCTCAGGAGATCTTCCAAGTCCCAGGCAATGACCTGGAGATGAGGCTTGGACATGGAAGGGAAGGAAAGGGAGACCTAGACATGGCCATGACCTGGAGGGAGTGCGTGAAGGCCACGAAGCGAGGAAGGGAAGGACCGGACCCAGTGGAAGACCGGCCGCAGGGAAGGCCAGGTCACTCAGTGTGTGTTCCAAAGATGTGTGTGTGTATATGTGTGTGTGTATTGACCCTGGGAGTCAAAGACTATAAAAAGAATGAACTTTAGGGGACTTCAGCCGGTCAAAATATAGTCTTTGGACTTCTAGGGTTGATATTGATATGAGGAGACTCCTGAGATCTCGCCCCTGGCTGCGTCGACTGGTCTACTTCAATGGGTAGAATGTAGACTGGTCCATTTCCCTTCTCCCAACCCACGGGGGGTCGTTGCCTGGTCTGGTTTCCCGTGTTTGCCCACCCATAAGATCCCGTGTAACACATCACACGTCGTCAGCATATGTCGCAGTTTTTTTTGGATGTTGCTCGAATCACACACCGGGTGGATGAGGATATGGTAGGATGAGGATGGTGACCATGAGTACTAGACCAGACAAATGGGACTGGTGACTGGTATATCATGTACCCCATGATTTCATGGCCCATCCATGTAGGATATATACAACTGAGTAACTATTCCATACGTGAATGTTCTGGGGATTATAACAATTTGTCCAAAACCCCCTGTTTTACAAGCCTCGCCGCTGAGGAGTCATCGTTTTTCCAGGAGGGTTTGTATACGTCCCTTGCTTTCAGGATGTTTCACGTATTTTTGCATCCATTTCTTCTCCCAGAGTTGCTATTCTTGGCAGCTTGCCACCAGTTTTAGATCATTTGCACAGGTTCTCCGGGTTCCCCCAGAACACTGGCCGGACCCAGGTTTTACAGCTTTCATGGAATGATTTGCTACAAGAACAACCAGCACTATGTGGCATCTTGGGTTGTGCAGCACTTTTGTGTGCGCCATGTTTCGCTGGACACCGGGGAAAAGCTAATGGGGGTACACTCCCTGAAAGAATCCACGGTTGCCAACGTGGATTCCATGGTGACGTTCGTTCGGATGACCATGACATGAAATGGCAGGGACTGTGCTACGGCTATACCCTTCTTGGGGTCCTGGGTCGTCTACGCCCGGTCGATCGTCGGGTCGATCGACGATGGTTTTGAGTCCCTGATGAGTAACGCCGTGATGGTCTACGCAGTGACCAGGGTAGTGACCTGAACACCCAGACAGTGCCATTGGGGTGGTTGACCTGGAGTCCATGTAGACATACATGCCATACATGGCAATGTTTGGGTACTGGTTCTTCCCAGTCGATTCCACCCGGCACATGTTGCTTGGTTGGTTTTAGAGCCTCCCTTTGTTCTGTTTGTTCAGGAGCCCGATACGAATACGAAGCAACTGACCACCTTTCCGGCCACTGACGAAGCGACTGCCAAGGCATTGTTTTGGTGCCATGCAAAAGAGCGCTGGATCTTTTTTGACGATCGCAAAGTCGAAGAGAAAGAGGGCTGGACATCCGTGGCCAACTTCTTGTGGACCGGCGGAGGCTTGCCTGAGAACGAACTGTGCACGGAAGCGAGAAGAAATCTCAGGAAATCTTATCCCTTCCACATTCCACGTCCACCCACCCGGAATAGTTCCCTAGGGCTCCTGTCCCATATCCTCTGTCAGGTTCGGTGGTTAGACCCCCTGGCACCCACCCCAACCATCTTCGAAACGGAGGCAGTCGGAGCCCTAGGCGTTTAACATACCATGTTTTCCATCCTCACGAGGCCCCAAGCTCAGCTTTGTTTGATTGTGAGGTCCCCAGCCGTCCTGACCTATGATTCCAGGTCCCGACCGATCATGACTCCCCGCAGAAGACCGACCGCGAGGTGATTTGCTGATCTTCGTCCATGGCAAACATCAACACAGGGGTGCGTTCAATAGTGGATTCCCATCGCCATTGATTTAAGTTCTGAATTGACGAACAACCATCATCATGTGTTTTACCAAGGATTCTAGTTCTAGACTTTAAATGTCAAACATTTTAAACCAGGTCAACCTTTACATTCATGGTCTTAGAAGTCTAGGGAACAATTGGAACGATTTGTTCACCCTTTTAGATCGTGGCACTGGATCTCCAGCTCTACCACGATTCGCACAGTTCGCACATGTTCGCTACCAAATACAATTAAAGAAACTGGAAGCTGACTAAACTGACCTGCTTCTTCCAAGTGATCCAGACAGATCCCAGGTGGTTCGGTCACAGCCATATAAGCCTTTGACTGGCGCCATATAAGCCTCTCTCATTGGCCGGGAAGTTCAGAAGCTGGGGCGACTTCCTCCAGTCGGTGCGACTTCCGCTTTTGAGAAGTCGACTTGAAATCAGAACTCCACAACATCTCCAAACCATCCATGTCTGTACTCATTCAAAGATAAATCCACTCCACACTCCACGGCGGCCTGAGGATATCTTCCGACCCTCCTCTTCTACGAGCGCAGCGATCGCTCTGACGTGGTCTGCGCTGAGCTGTCCAAAGAGCTTGGAGCGCTCGAAGAGCCATCGCTCTGTAGCGCGATGTGAGGATCCGTGGAGAACACCTGAAAAGCATTGAAGGCACAGAGAGCGAAGCCAACAAAGCGAAGAGAAACATCAAGGAGACGAATGTCACCTAGCGCAGGATGGAATGCAAGACATGTGACAAAAGAAGTTGATAAGTAGTGGTTTCATGATGTTTCATGTACATGCCTTCTCCAGTTGATTTTTTGGATGCAGTAGTAGATCTACTCCGGAACTTGCGGAGAACTCTATCATACAGGTCAGTGACCTCATTATTCTGGACCTGGTCACAGAACAAGCACAAATTAAGGAGGTAAAAGACCAGGTTTTACTGGGTCAGACTGGACTTTTAGGGCTACATTCTGCAGCCTTTTTGTAGCTTAAGGAATCACCGTGCTTGGTGGAATCACCGTGTTCCGACTTGTGGACTGGTGTTCTTCACGGCAACCGTGTAGGATGGTGACCTCCGTCACTTGCAATGGAGCCATGAAGAGTCAGGGTAGAACCAAGAGGTATATGGCCTCCAATCTAAGAGCGATGACCTCCAACCCAATAAATAGCGTGGGCTCCATTGACAAACGACCGAACTCCCTCAGCAGAAGGCAGCACACGCCCCGTGAAGTCCAAAAGGAACGAACAATCAATCTTGTGGAGGGCGAAGAGACCCTTGGATGGCGCCCATGAACGATGCCAGGGTTGTTGGGGAGGAGGGTTGTTTGGAGGTTTTGTTGAGGACTCGCTAGGGGGACTCAAGAGTCTCTTAAAGGGATGATCGGATGTACAAGAAGTTATGGTGGAAGACCACTGATCCACCCGAAATGATCAGGCGATGGACACGCCAGAAGCTTTTTGCGTATTCCGTTTGAACTGTGCTTGGGAGCCTGTTAGGAAGAAACCATCATAACCGAGAATTTCCATGGGAATTGCATATTTCCGATCAATTGGGTGGTTGAAAAGAAGTCAAGGTCTTTCAGTCACACGGAGTGTTTGGCATTTAATGGAAGTTCTGCAACTTGTGCACTGTGGACATCTGAAACAATTGATCACAAAATCTGGATGGTGTATAGATGATGAGACCCCCACCCACCCCACCAGGTGCTCTGCGTCTTCATCACCCTGTGTCGTTGACAAGCCCAGAAAAAAAAAAAACACTCCTTGAACCCCCCAAACCATCTTTTCTTGCGGTCACGTCGTCCCGCCCCTCTAAAGCTCTTCCACTAAGTGGGGTGACTCCTTGAACCGCCCAAAACCATCTTGTCTTGGAGTTCTCCGTCTGGGTTCTCCGTTTGGGAGCTGTCTGCCGCGCGGCGACCGGTCACCGCCCAGTCACCCGGTCCCTCAACCGGTCGCTCAGGTGGCGAATGTGGGCGACTCGCGCGCCGTGTCGATCGACGGCTCGGCAGGCGAGGCTGAGAGACTGAAACACTGGACATGGAGTCATGGAGTCTTTCTTTTCTTATGAGTCTTATGGATGGTGGATGGAGTCTTATTTTCTTTCGATCCATTAAGTCCGTGCATTGGAACGGATGGACACTGAAGGGTTTGGACCTCTTCTTTGTGGGAAGTGCGCCACCCGCCGATCGCGTGCGGCCTTCGCGTGCGCGACTCGTCGAGGCACCCAGCGCTTGTCGATGGACCATCGTCCCTCCGATCCGGCAGAAGCCCGGCGCGTACGGGAGGAAGGCGCCGACGGGTTCCCGGTTCCCGGTTACCGGTCGGACCACCAGACCGATGTCGTGATGGGTCTGGTTGGAGAGGTTTCGGGACACCGATGGGACAGTGCCGGACAGCATGGCCAGAGTTAGTTGGTGTGAGAAATTCCTTGCCACATACAGTATCGCTCATGCTCAGCTCAGTATCTTCAGACATATAGAACATCATAAATATGTAGAACATGCTACGGTTCGTTCGGAGCTTGGTCTTCTCGCACATCTTGGGACTTGACATCCGAAGCTTGCTGTGGGGCGCCTCCACAGAGGAATTCTCCGGCAAGACGACCCATTTGGAGGGAAAAGGACAACATTAGGGACCCATTGTATAGGGGACCAGAAGACCCACAAATGGAGAATTCCACCGTTTTTGATGGTCTTAGTATTATAGGGATCCCGTCGTACCTTCTCACCAGGTACGACTGGACCCGACACTGCTTAACAGCGTCTCCAATCACCTGAGGTTCGGTACGACTGGATCCCTATAAGGATACAGTATCGTACTATGTTCCTTCCTTCCTGTCACCGGATGCTTCGCATTCTCGGAGAACAACATCTTTTCTTTTTCGGATCCCCAGGACCTTCCAGCATCGGTTTGAAGTCGATTTGGATCCCTTTCCCTAGACCTCCAGCCGTAGCTCCTCAGAATGTATTTGGACCCCCCAAACCCACCCCAAACACGTTCTCAGAAGGTACTTAGAGGCCTAGGGTTTGAAATGCGCCGTCACCCGGGACTTTTGGGGATTCGGATGGACGCAGATCTTCGACAAGGTGTGATTCTCAACGCGCCCAGACACGACGCTGGCGCGCAGCGGAGACACGACCCAGACACACAACCATTCCAGTACCCATTCCCTAGAGGGCTCCTGTCCCATATCCCCAGATTCGGTGGGTAGACCCCCCCTGGCACCCACCCCTGGCACCCCTGTCTCATCTTTAAAACGGAGGGCATTGTTTCGCAGGGATTGGACTTGGACCTCCAGTTGAACATGTCGCCCAAACCCAGCGGTCCAAGACTCCAGCCGACTCGTGGGACACCTGTGGGACCTGTTGACGGTAGAGACCTGTGCAGGTGGTTTCGTGACCATGGGACGGGTCGCAGGCCGGGTCCAGAGGGGCTGCATGATGGCATGGCAGGGTTGGATGTGGGTGTCACTCAAACACCAAGGGAGAGCCCTCAAAGATCTTTGGACATTGAGAGATATATTGAGAGATTTGAGAGGATGAAAGACATTGGGACCCAAACGAGGCTGGATGTCCTTTTCTTTTTCATGTTGAGCTCCTGAGTTGCTTTGATTCCAACCTTCCGTGAGGCATATGTATGCACGCATGTGGATCAGAACGGGGGGGCGGGCCGGAGGGGACTCTGAGGGTCGAAAAAGCGGATCCAGAGAAACCCCAAAAAGCCATCGGCGGACCGAAGATGATTGAAACTGGTAGGAGAAAGATCGTTGGAAGATGAGCAGCTATTTGAATGGAGCTGGCATATGATTTTGCCAACAACAAGATCACAATATCTATGCTGTATTACATATGTGTTCCAGGAGGAGTGCACATAGAATATACATGAATATACTGATCTTAAAAAAAGGAAACTACAACTGAAGTTAAATAAACATATTTGGACCGGGGTCTGGGCATTGAAAAGAAAATGTAGGAGCTCAGCCCCCTCAAGCGCACAAAAAATCACATGTTTATTTTAAAAATGCTTTCTGTGTTTGGAAGATATGAACCTTGTCTCCAAAGAATCTATTTTAGAATGTGAGGCTGATGCTGGAGATTCGTTTTAAATAAAATCAGTGGTGATACAATGGCTTTGATCCTCAGCACTGGTTGATTTTATCATTATCTTGGATAGTCAGGGACGCTTCAAAAGCAAGCGCGTTCAACTTGGGATGACTTCACACTAAATAATGTTGAGTTTCCACTACAAAACAATGGCTGCGCGGTGCAAATCGTCCCAGTCCTTAGTTCGCAGTGGAAACTCAATGTTTTTTTAGTTAGCAGGTGTTCCTAGGTCATCAGCCATGAAGCTAGTGTCGGAATACACAAGTTACACAAGCATGTAATCATGTCAGGCATAGGAATTAGGGTCTACTAGTGCTTCCCAACCCTACCAGCCCCAGCCAGAAAGCTTTAGAATAAGAATTGGTTAGCAGACTGGAAGAGGTATATGTTGTGGTTCTAGGGTGAGTTTAGCTTTGGATTGGCAGATACTTTTTTTTGCAATCGGGCTTTGGTGAACCGGCAGTCTTGGGCATTTGATTTGTCTTTAGCAGACGTTTCATGGGTCAAGATCAGGGTGCAGTGGGAGCCAACGTCCACCATAAGGATTTTTTTGCCTTGGGGTGGCTCATGTTATTTTCATCAAGTTGCCTCCGCTGAGGTATTCTGATAGCTTCGTTAGATGATGAATTTGCAGGGTTGGACCCACAGTTTTTAAAATAAACTACCTTGGCTACCCCCCAGAATTGGTTTATTTTTGGGGGTGCTGACGTCCCCGCTGTCACCAGACCGCTCTTATCTGGCGCTATCGAATGGTTTATGGATGCACACCTCTAAACCTGTGTTTCTTGCAGTTTGATGTTCTGCACCATGTACTGTTCCATCTGTTCCTGTCACATGCGTTGGTTGTGCCGTCCCGGTGCCGTCCTGGTGCCTTGCTGTAGTTGCTGGATCATGTGGATAGAGACATGGTTTGCGTGCATATATTGAACTAGTTGCTCATTGTATAGGCGCCATTTATGGCTTTTCTAGTTGCTCAGTTCTGGATCCAAGGATTTGTATATGGCTTTTTCTATTTTGCATCACTCGCACATATTCCAGGACCTTCCAACAGGTCACCAATATACTGTATATTGGATCTGGGGCGGGTGGAGAGGATTGGAGAAGAGACCATGAGGCGAGGTAGAAACTGCTGATGGACGCTATTAACCCAGCTCACGGATCGCTTCTAAGGGTTATAGCTACAGACAAACACCATTAAATTTATTGATCACTTTCTATTAAATTTAATGGTGAGAGATATTTTATTTTACTAATCTATAATCATGACCACACATTTTCATTTAAATATATGTGTGGGGTCAATGGCTAGTCAATTAATTATAATGTTTAGATTAAAAATCTCTCATTTAAATAGCCAATCATTATTCGTTATATATATGTATAATATACCAGGACCTGACTTCACAGGTCACCACCGTTCAGACTTGAAAAAGTCTACAATACAAAAGCCTCCATTTCGGAGACCTGTTGGAAGGTATGGACTGTTGGGCAGCTTGGCATCTGTTTCATTGGGAAAGATCCCCGACACTGTCCTCCATCTTAATAGGGCGCCCTGGAGCAACTCCCCAAACCGGCCCCCCGTAGGCCCGGCTCCTCCGTAGGCTCGGCTCGCGCGAGACGCAGGCGAGTTGGCCATCAGCCGTGCCTTGGGCGATTTGCTGCTGAAGAGCTCAGGCGAAAACGGCCCGACGAACCGACGCAGTTGACGCACACGGCGTAGACTTGACGACCAAAACGGATGGTTTGGTTTTTCTTGTGGGCATTTGTCGCAAACGGCGTGGGTATAGGAAGTCTATGTCTTTTCTGTTATTCCACTAAGCAAGTCGAGAATTTGAAGTGCCGACAGGAATAATATGACGTCGACTTAAGGCATGACCAGCAGGGATCGACTGAAAGGAGTGCGACAGCTGTCTCTTCCTGTCTTCATCGGATTGATCTGTCAGTGCTTTGAATATCCAAGAAATGTCAAGACATTGAATCTGCACGTCGTTAGGAGAACATGTTGGCGCCCAGCGGGGTGCCAAGGTCCCAACACGGATGTTGGACGCACCTGCTTGTCCTGGATATGCATAGTAAAAGAACAGCAATATATATATATATAATATATGCTCCAGTGGCCGGCATTGGTCACCAGTTTAAGTATTCTAAACTCTAGAACTTCAGGCTGAGGAGCATTGCCATAGTGTGCGCCTGGATTGCCTGCATCATCATCCCTTTTCCCGCACTCAGGAAGGCTGTCAAGATGTGGAGCCGATGCATCAGCTCTCAACAGCATAATAATCCAGCAAAATCCAGCAGTTCCAAAGGGAGTACCCTAGATTTTAGTTCATTTGGATGTTCTGGCCACTACATGGAACATGTGGAAAAACTTCCCGCGGGCACAGATTGCGGGCTCGATTTGGAACAGCAACAAACATATACAAAAAAGATCTAACGATATTTTTGTATACATAATATATACCCTGGGGATCCAGATACGTTCTCAGACAGTGACTGGAAA